TAGATGTCCATAAATTAAGTTATGTGTAGCAATGAGTAAGGAATTATGGTATTGCAAACATATTATGTTAATTGTACCAAAAATACACTTTACATGAAAGCAAATTACATGAAATTTGGTTAATTACATATAATAAGTGCTACTATTGTATGTAAATATGTATGGTTAACAAGTTTGACCAACTGTCATAAAAGAAGAAATATTATGGAAATCTCAAAAAAGCGATTTATTAGGCAGATAACTGATCATAACTAATAATTATCAACTAATAGTTTTTATAGCCAAGCTGGTAAACGTCTCCTAGAAGAATTTAATCAAATACGCCATTCAACCCAGTAAAACACATTTTAGGAAAGTAAAGTAACTGTAAGTAACTGGAAAGTAAGTAACTGTAATTTGACATCTGAATCAAAAATAATAACGTGCTTTATGTCTTTTTCTGCTTTTATGTAAAGCAGTACAAGAACAATTGTATTTTAGCATTTCAAGTATGAAGCATGCAGACTCTGGTGAATTAACCATTACAGAAACTTTAAAATATATTTTGGTAATTACCAACACTGTTAATTTAGGACAGCTGTGGTATTAACCTTAACTGGGTGGTGGTCTAATAAATTTAAGCATTTTTTACACAAAGAATATTACAAAAATATACACACATATACACATCTTGCTGCATAATTAATATAATATGAAATCAAAGTAACTGTAAGCCTTAGATGCCACATAAAGGAGCCAGAAATGTCCCTTCTAGTAGCAGCCATAACTAAGTAACTGTAAATGTAGTTAAATCTTTTAAAACTTCTCCACTGCACTTATTAATCATCACAACATGGAAGTAGAACAACAATCAAATTCCCTGAAAACATCAGTACAAATATTTATTTCTTCATTTTTATTTTATTTAATTTTTTGTACAAATGTGACTTTGACACCGCTGCATTAATGTTCAATGTTATGCTGTATAAAAGGAGACGGGGGCAACTCACGACCTGTCAGCTGCATCACATTTGGACATTTGGGAAAGCGATCTCTGTGTTTTCTTCTTTTCTGTTTTACTCAGTTTCTTTCTCACACACATATGCTGAAACACACAAACTTGAAAAACCGCACATGTATGCTGAGCACATCCTAAATATGTCAAACCAGGCACGTGTGTAGTCGTACAAAAGAAGGTATTTACAACCACCAACACCCCTAAAGAGTCCAAAACAAAACTACACCCTCTGTAAGCACAGTAACACTCTTGTAAATATAAACTTACAACACATCAAGCCTTATAAGTAGAAAAAGTTTAAAAAATACACATCAAATATCCTCACTCATTAACAGCTGATGCCTAGAACAGTGTTCCAGTAGTTGTAGGCAGGTGGCAGTAGTGAGACACCCTGATGTCCAATACTGGCAGCACAAATACTGATACTGAGTTGAGTTGTTCACAGTAAGTTATTACTATTGTTTTTTTGTTTGTTTTTTAATTCTTGAATGCTTGCAGCATGAAATAATGCAATATAAATTTTGGAATGAGCGATTCATTTTGTACATAAAGAACTTAATGTTTTGAAATTCTTCAGAAATCTGATTTTAGGTAATCCTTTAGGTTGTGTGTTGCATTAAGCTTGTGGCTGATTATAGGACACTGGCCAACAAGATTTACATTACATGGAGCCATAATAAAAAACACAAATCGAGATGAAAATCAGGGCCATATGTTCTGAAATAATACAGCAGTGGGTAAAAAACTTGAAATGTGATTTCCATAACCTGTCCAAATAATATTCTGCTGGTTTACACGTCGGATCAGCGCACACTGCACACACTTACACATTCATAACAAGCATTAAGATAAGTTCCTTTGCTAATTACGGACTAAACTGTCTGTGTGCAGTTGTAGTGTAAGTAGCGTTTATTGAAGACTGCAACTGGCAAAATCAAAAATAAATACATCTTTAAATGCATGAAAATATTTAAAATAAATTGATTTTTTTAATGAATTATGAATGATAACAGTTTTCCAATTTATTTACTTTTGTGTGTCATATTAACTTTTACTTTTATTAAATACATATTATTTTGGTAAAATCACAAGCCTTATGAATACAAAAGGCTTAAAGAATACACATGAAATATCTTTTTTTTTTGCCTGTACCGTTTGGTTCTTTTGCCATCAGAATGCCATCTAAAGGCAAAGAAAGATGCCCAACTTTACCAACTGGACCATCCCAGCCTTGCAATATTGGTCTATTTGATTCACCTTTGCTTTTATTGTTTATTTTATTTTCATTTGCTGAACACGGGACAGACTTGACTGGGGAAAAGAAAAGGAGAAAGAAAGAGGGAAAGATGAAACATGAAATATCCTAACAGAATTCAGGTGTAGCCATCTGCACAACTCTGGATTGGATAAGTGGTAAAACATTTTTTTTTTAATGGATATTAGTTTCTTTATTTAGGTATTGGAGCTGGGACAGGCTCCATCGCTCCCACAGTAGGACAGTCAGGTTCCTATATTTATCTGCTTTAATTCTTTTTATAATTTCTGCTTCACTGTGCAGATACAAGGCCCATCCGATTGGTTGATCAATGCCAGGACACAACAAACCTAGCTGTCTCTCATCAGCTAAGTACAGAAATTCTAATTTATGACACCTTTTTATAAATGAAGGCCTATTTTAATTATTTTTAATATTAATTACTATGTTTAACGAATCAATTTATTTATGATTTTGGCAGTCTTCTTCCTCTGCTTTTTTTAGTACATGAGACTTCTTTGAATGATCTGACAACTACAAACACGTCTATCTACAGTCTAATTATCGTAACAAGTACAGCGCAGACAGACAGGGTAAAAAAAATGTGTGAAATGATAAAAAAAATAATTCAAGTGATACATGATTTTGGTATAAAAAGTCTGTAAGGATAAAGTATTATTCACGTATAAATACTGTACATACATTTCCAATACAAGACAATTAAATAATAACTGCTTAGACTGAAAAAAGAGAGGTTCAGTTTATA